AGAAATAATATACATATGTAAACATACATATGTAGATGTACATATTGAAATTTACTATGTACATAGATCTTGAATATATGTATTACTAACACAAAGTACATTATGATTTATAATACATATACTATGCATATCTTATGTATATTATGCGGATCATAATTGAAATAAAAGAATACTTGTATCTACTCACCGGTCAGAAGCATTTGCTTTCCATTTTTTAAACTTATTTGTATAAATAGTTATGCATTCTTCGTCGTCCAACTTGCAGGCCCAGTTATTTACATATTGCCGCAATAAAACTGTTAATCTGTCATCATGTTCGCGATCCTCATATCCTAGCTCGCTACGTATATTACTGATAAGGGACAGGATATACGTCTAAGAATACAAATTAAATAGTGTTATAAAATTAAGTACAATTAATTCATCCAGTATATAATTTTTCTATTCAAAATATTCAAATTTAAACTTTAGTTGAAGTTTGGAACGTTTCTGGAAATTTTTAAAAACACATTTGTTCCTACTTTATTTTTACCTTCACACAGAAGATTCTTAAGTGTCAGAATACCAAATAAAAAATATCTCAATCGTACACACCTCAGAAAGCAGCAATATAATGAAAAAAAAAAACACTCTTTCTATTACTTTCCTACTGATTGAAATATTTTTTATTTATCTGGCACTTGAGAATTATTCTGTGCAAAAATAAAAGTGAAACAAATGCGTTTTTAAAAAACGTTCCAAATTTTAATCAGCTTATTAGCTTACAAATTTCTTAATAATATTTAACATTATACATATCTGATACACATTAAACTAACAGTATATCAATAGTATAAAACAATACAGATAACTTGGCATGACTTATGTAATTAATGTGATTGGTTTTCTAGTTCTATAAATATTTTATAACTATTAATATTATAACTAATAATTTTATAAATATTTTATTTTAATAATAAACCAACCTTAAATAAATCATGTTCCGTAGATTCTGTGAATCGCTTATTAAAGTATTCCAAGCCATTAAATGCCGCTTTAAATGGCAAATAATTCGTTTCTCTTTTAAGATAAAGCAGTCTATCCAGAACCAATTCGTTATTTTGATATCTTGCCCTACCCAGATTTAAGAGATCATCTACAATTGCAGCTCTGTTTAATACATGAATTTCTTCAAATTTGTCACTTTTCAAGAAATCGAAAATACGTTGCCATCCACGGTCATCATAATTTACACGATAGAAACCTATAAAACAAATATAAAGATTAATTTTTTAAGATGCATATAATATACACAGATAGATATGAGATATTTTCAAATTAATCATATCTTATTTATTATTTATATTGATCAAAGTCAAAAAGTTTTGAAAGTTCGTTTAATATTTTTAACAATATACACACAAACTAACAGTAACATTACATCGATATTATAACTTCCCACTCAATGCAATATAAATGTATTATAATGCATATTATATGTAACAATTATATTGCTGAATAGAAAATTGTAACATTAATATTACTGTTACTGTTACTTTGTATTCACTAGGTAAACAATTATTTTATTATAATATTTGTTATAATATTTGTTTTAGTACGTTCTAATTTTTTAATTAATAACAATTTAATAGTCAAGATATAATAATAACATAATAGAATCGAATTAAACATTTTATATATATATAATTATTTATAGAAAACTGTGTGTGTGTGTGTGTGTGTGTGTATATATATATATATATATATATATATATATATATATACAGTTTTTTATAAATAATTCTTGTATACACTACAGGCAGTATAAACGTTATTCTATGCTAACCTGATGATTGAACATTAAATATGGCCCATTCTTCCGGATTAATTTTGAACTCTGCAGTGGTTTTTTCGTTATCCAACCAATATTTCGGAATTGTATTACTGAAATCTGGATTACTTTGTGTTGCAAATGTGAGCGGAATATACCAAGTAACATTCGTAGGGGTCTTCTTCAAGTTTCTCAAGAAAAAGCGTTCTTGAGTAAGATTTGCTACACCGTCGTCATTAATGTTAACTGATACAACAGGGTATCCGGCTTTCGTTGTCCAAGAATCCATTATTGTTTTTACAGGATAGTTAAATGTTGAATGTTCTCTGTCTACTTGATTCTGTACTGCTTTCCATAAGGCATCCGGATGACCCAACCCTTCCTCTTTGCTGAAAGGTATATCATATTACAATATAATTTCTTGAACTCGTGCAAAGAAAGAAACACAGATATTGTATAAAAATATTAACAATTCGAAATGATGATTCATAAAATGTATGTATAACTAAATAATAATAACTAAATAATAATAAAAAGCAATTTTTTTTCATCAAATGATATATTACAACTTAGTATAAAAATAACTTTTTATAAATTTTAATTTGTTTGTAGATATTTTAACAATACGATGTAATATTAATATAAACTGCTGTATAATTTAATTATATAAAACAAGTTTACAATTGTTTACTTGTAATTGAAATATTTATTATAAATTTAATAAGAACATAAATTAAATTAATTTCTTTTCTAATTAATTCTGCTCTGCTACATTATTTTTTTGTTTTTACAAGTTAATTTATTTTTAAAGATTATATTTTAATTTCAAATAAATTAATTAACTATGTTTCGAACAGAATTGATTACAATTTACTTTGTAAACGTTTACTTAGTCTGTATGTAGTCTTGTAATGCGGCTACGAAACCATTTATTCCGAACGTGAGGCTCATCATACGAACAATACTGCCTCCCTTCGCATAAGTAATAGTACCTCCTGCGTTTTCAATTTGCGTTTTAGTAAGAGCATTTCGAGTCATCGGAGGAGCAGATTCAAGACCGTCTGTTATTAATGCAGATTGATGTTCGTCCACCACAATTTGCTCCATCATGTTCCATGATTGTTCAATCTGTAACAAAACAAGTATTGAAGAATGTAAAAGCAAAATTTATTAATTTAACTTTGCATAAATATTGTAAATAATATTAAAAATGTTTTGTTGAAAGAGTCCTTTTCTATCTGTTATTTACATCTGTTATTTATATCAGTATAATGCAATTATCTAAGTTATGCAAAATTGAGATTGTAAAAAGGATTATTTAAGCTAAATATTTGAATTGGAATCTTTCCTTTACATTTATATTTTATATTACGGTTAATGATGAAAAATCTAAATAGCGTTTTTTTATCTTACCTCCGCGGTACCGAAATACGAAAAATATGTGGCGAACGCTTCGCTGATCCAAAAGTAACTCCACCATACAGGTGTTATCAAATTTCCGAACCACATGTGCGCAAGCTCATGAACAACTGTGGTAGCTACAGTCTGTTGTGCCAATGCCGACGATTCCTTTTCATCGTACAACATTTGACTCTCTCGATATGTCACCAATCCCCAATTTTCCGTTGCCCCTGCTATGAAATCAGGTATGGCTATCATGTCCATTTTAGGAAGATCATATTTTTGTTGAAACGTGTCACCGAACACTCTGAGAGCTGCAGCGCCAATATCCAAAGCGTATTTAGCTTGATTGATAACAAATGGTTTGGCCCACACTGTAAAATTATCCTTTTTGAGAGACTGGAATTCCGAAATGACGAAAGCCACCGTGTAAGAAGACATCGGAACGGTTTCTTCGAAAGTATCCCAAATCTTGCCGTCCGGAGCTCTTAAAATAAATATGTTATAAGTGAACAAGTTAAGGCGTGAGAATTTGTTCAACAATAATCTTGCGTTTTTTCTGATTACTTACTTTTCAGATTTTGCTAATGGCATGTTACTAAGACAGATATAATTTTCATCTCTTGCTATATGAAAGGTAAATTTAGCTTTAAGACTTGGTTCGTCGAAACATGGGAAAGCATGTCTGGCATATATCTTTTGAAATTTCGTCGTAGCCAGCCATCTAGTAAAGAACATTTACATCACTAAAGAACACATTTACATTATAAACTATCATAATATCTATCATAATAACTATCATAATGTATATCATCATAATATTTATTAATACGTTGACGATAAAATATTTTCAAAACAAATAGTTGAAAATATTTATTTTGCATTTATGCATATGCGATATATGCATAAAATAATATGTAATTAAGTATCAAATTTTTTTTGTCAAATAATTTGAAATCTTATTTTCTTATCTATATTGTATTATATTTATAAACGATTACTATTATTTATAAGGTACATTCATAAAATTATTATTTTATTAATTATCTTATATTACAGTATATTAAACGACGATGTCGTCGTATCACTTACTTTATTTCTTCGTTTTCATCAAAGTAAGAACTTTTATAAAATCCAATCATATCATCGGTTAAAATTCCATTGTACTTAAAATTAATTTGTATAATTTTACCTTTTCTAAAAGGTTTTGGGTTACTGATAGTGTACTTTTCAGTAACATTGTCATATTTATAAGAAAATCTTTTATTATTATATGAGTTAATAGACACTGATTCAATTTCAATATTTCCCACGTGCAACGTAACATGATTAGTTGTGCGTTTTACTAAGGCTGTAATTGTTGCATAGCCCTTAAATTTAAAATCATCTTTTAATTTTGGAATCAGCTTAATATCATATGAAATGGGTTTGATAATTGTTGATAATTTGTAATTAATAGACTTATCGTTTTGTTTATAATTTTCATTTTGCATCAGTGTATCTGAAAAGTATTATAAAATTGTTACAAAACTGTATATACAAAAATAATTTATAAATAATTTATTTTTAAGTATGTAAAATGTTCCTACAAAACTGGCTGTACCATTTTGTGTTATATATAATTTTATATTACTGATAATATTATATTTAATTTTATGTAAAATCTTATATATATTATAAGTTATGATTATTTTGTAGAATTAAACAATTTTTATTTTAATTTGTAATTAAGGAAAATGTGTTATTTACTTGAAATGCAAAAATATTCAATTTTATTTATTTTATAGAATTATGTGTTTTAATTTCTTTTTTTAAGATTTTTGAAATAAAATAAAATATATGAACAGAATATTACCATCGTGAAAAGAAGATTTATCTGCTACATTTCCATTGAGTAATGTAATTAATGTACAAAGGAACAGATGTTTCCGGAAGATCTTCATCTGTTAATAATTTTCTGTGAAGCCTTGAGTATAATTCCACGAGCAAACGAGATGTCAAATCGGAAAGCTAAATGGCAAATGAAGAACAATTATTATAACCGATCAATAATGAATCAATATATACAGCGACATCTGAAAGTCACATAAATTAGCAAATATTCACAATCAATAAACAGAGATATTCAACAAATGTAGCGCGTAAAATTTTAAACATACAAAACGATGTATGAAACATCTCCCGCTTGGAAGACTATATGTTTTAATATTTTAGATATTTTGATAGTTATCTTTAATTCAATTAATTAAAAGCAATAATAAATAAATAAAAATATTTTAATATAACTAAAATAGATTGTGACATAATAATTATAAAAAATTTTTTAAATTTACACAAAATTAAAATATAAAAATTACAGATGAAGTATAAATTAATTTTTAATACAAAATACTATTTATAAAATATTAAAGAATAATAAATTAAAGAATAAAGAAATTAAATAGATCGATAATAGAATTAATTGTTAATTGAAAAAATGGAAAAGTTTTGGTAATGATTGGACAAGTGACTTTTCAGATGTTATTACGATTACAGAATATGCATCTTCATCCGCTCCTGGATTTCTCATACAACCGAAGATACAATAAAATAGAGGGAGACTGTGTTGTTTAATTGATATCAGTTGTTCAAGCTGTAATTGTTTACTTTAGTCCATTTGTGCTGCAACTGCTGCAACTAATGCAAATATTTAATATTGTAACATACAATATTCAGAAAAATCTTAATTACGATAAATAATACAATGTTATTTTAAAAGTTATAATATCAAAATTTACAAAAAAAACAATTTCCCGAAAATTATAATTCTGAAGCTTAAAAACAAAGATAATACCTTAAAATATAAATTCTCCGAGATATATTCAAATAAACAAAAATTTAATAAAATATACAAATCTAAAACAATTAACTAAATTTTCCCTTTCCCAATCATTTTTCTCAGAATTATTGAAACAACATACAAGTCATTTATCATTATTTAAATATGCCATCTACCATTATTTAAATATATAAATAGACATTATTACAAACAAAAAGAAATATTAATTATAAAAACCTGAATACTAATTAAATAGAACGATTTATAAATTTTCACAGTATTACATTAGGAAAAGATATCATATGCGGAATATTTAAAATGTCAATAAAATGTATATAATAGAATATTGAATATATGTTTCTATTTCTAATTTATTAATTTATAGTGTTAAATTTATAGTGCTATAGTAGATTAACTAGTAAGTAATTGTAACTAGTAAGTAATTAGAAAGCAAAAATTTAAAATTAACTTAATCCTTGAACCATTTTTTCTCGTATCTCTACATATTCTTTTTCAATTAATGATGCCTCACAATTATTAAATCTCCTCCAAACATTATGTAATTATAAAGTAAAAATCCAATAGAATGTCCAATGTCCAATAGAAAAAAACACAAATAATAAAATGAAAAACAGCAAATAAAGTGCATTATTTCTTAATTGACATATTACATTGAAATAAACTAAGAAATGCGATTTCTTGCAAAAATAAGAATATTTTTAAACAGAAAGCTTAATTAACATAATCTCTAATTCTATTTAATTTTTATATTATCCGCTTCTTTAAATTTTTTATACGATTTAATCAATAGCATATAAATCTGTAATTATATGTAATTTTTTTTTATTAAGGTTTCTGACTACTCAGCTAAGAACTTCGCGTTGTCAGTAGCAACACAGCGACGCGGTAAAAATTTAAACTTTTTCATCCTTATTGTTTTTTATATTAAGTGACGTGCTGATAACGAAATTTTTTGTTGCATTTAATTTCGTTATTATATCCTGAATTATGCAGATGTAAGTTGTCTCGTATTTACGTAAATTCGTAAAAACGGACGGCAGTTAACTTTTGAATTTTATGTAAAAGCATATTTTTTACTTCTCACAACAGCTGTAAAATTGTGTGTTTTTCTGAATAAGTCTGAATAAGTTTTATTTCACATGCCTTTTACGACTATTTATTGATTATCACAAGAGGAAAAGATAATAATAGCTGCTCATTTTCACTTCAAGGGCCTTAATGTCGTCTCAAATGTCACTTTAGTCAAATATCTCTTTATTTGCAAATTACGTGTAATAAATTTCACTGTATTATTTCTTATGACGTCACGATTCCAATATAGCTGCGGCGACTAGTCAGGAGTCTTGAATATAGAAGATGCATAGGTCGAATATCAGTCAATCGATTACTTAATATTAAAACATTTTTTATTAAAACAAATATATATAATAAATTCAGTAATTGGACTTAACATCCAGTTTCAGCTTTTATAATTTGCACAAAATATACGATGTAAGAAGATGCTACATCTTATAGAATATATGCTTACTAATAAGAGGACTTGTCGTAATTCTGTAACCATGGAATCATAGATGCGGAATTGGATTTACACCGTTCCAATTCGTACTTAGCAACCTTTAAAGAAGATTCTAAGGATTTTTGGATAGATGTTAAGTCTAGTTTATGCCTGTTTATAAATTCTTCATATTTGTCCACTAACTGAGATGTAGAATAATGTTGCGACGCTCCATTGAGAATTGTGGCTATTGGATTCTGTTCTCCAAAGCTGAAAGAAAAAATAATGATCTTTATAAACCAAAGGTAGATTACCTTATTATATACATCTTATACAATATCTAATATTTATTATTTTAAGTTAAATAAGTTTCTATATAGCGTATGAAGAAATATGAAGAAATATAGTCTAATAATTACACGTGAAAATATCAATATATATTAATATACATATATTATTATATTACCAATATAAAATTTATTTGCAAATGCGATTTAAATGTTGTATTTTATTTTTTTTGTATTTTGTATTTTTTTTTATATTTTATTTTTTCATTTTATTTCTTTTGTAAATTAATATACCGGGTTATAGATTTTATGCATAGTAAAAATAACTTACTATTTCTCGATCTCTTTGGAATATTTATCAACAAAATCAAGAACATATTCGGCCCCAAGTAAGCCAGAGTTGTAAACAGCCGCGAAAACGCTCATGCTATCCATTTGACGAATTCGGCTGATTTCGTAACTAGTAATAGCATTTCTCAGATATCTGCAAGAAAATAATGCTAATTAATTTTTTAATAGAATAATTATATAAAAAAATAATGAACAATAATAAGGCTAGTGAGAATCAGCGTATTAAACAACATGCAAATCATATGTTCAATCTTAACTACATTTAGTATAGAAAGTGATGATGACTTTGAGTCATCTTCAGTGATACAAAAATATAGTAAAGATATCCAATCTCCAATCAGTGAGCCCAACCATAAAAAAATAATGATAAAATGTCACTCACATCAGATATTATCATTATTTTTTATGGTGGGATATTATCATTATTTTTTTATCGATTGGACTCAGAAATATATCCTTACTATATTTTTGTTTCATTGAAGATGATTCAAATTCGAATCGAAACTTTCTATTTACTGTTTATTGCGTTTCTTATTATTATCCATTATTATAATATGAATCTTTTTCTATTAATATTTAATTATATATACAATATCTACGTAATAATTACATCATGCTATTATTTTCTTTCACTTGAACTATGTCAATAATTACAGAGTCTATTAACTTTCAATGTTGTAAACAAATTTTAATTACTTTTATACGTTATTAATAATTACTTTTATACGTTAAATATTTTGCTCTTAATTATATGTCTAATGAAATATTTAATCTATGTTGGATAATTTATTACTTACAATTAGTAATATGTACTCAATTTGCTATTTTATATTAATATTTTTGTATACTAAGTAATAACAGTATTGTTGTATGAAACATACTTTTCTAAGATGGTGGTATTCTGATTGCATCCCAAAACACTTATGATCATTACTTGATCCGCTGCATGATTAGAATTAACGTATTCTTTCCATAAAAATTCCCAATCCTCATAAGTTCCATATTTCATAGCAATGCAATAAGCTGTAGTTCTTTCGTTTGGCTTGATGCTATCAAAAATTAAACAATTTAACGTTAATCGAACTATTATTTATACTTATTATAATTATTAAAAAAATTAAAGTTGACACTTGTATCAAGATTCAAGACACTCAAATATTCAAAATCTTTATGGTGAAAAATGAAATATTTATGGTGAAAGGTGAAATAATCGCAAAGAATTTGTATATATGCTCTTTAAAGATGCCGCAAGCGCAATTTATGTACTGAAATCTATTATTTAAGTTAGAAATAATGTTCCACAGTACATATGTATACTATAAAAATAACAAATTAAAAGAAATGAAAGAACTCTTATATATTCTTACCGGTTAGACGCGTTTGCTCTCCATTGTTTAAATTTGTTCTTATAAGTTGTTATACATTCTTCGTCGCCGAAATTACATGCCCAATTATTCACTTCTTGCCGTAATAAAACCGTTAATCTGTCATCATTTTCGCGATCTTCATATCCTAGCTTGGTACGTATATTAGCGATAAGAGACAGAACGTAAGTCTAGAAATATAAAATAAATAACGTTACGTTGTTATACACAATTGATTTTTTTCTTACTGCACTTATTAATTATACTACTTGATACTAATTTACATAAATTTCTTGAAAATTTTAAATATATCTAGATTTAAAAAATTCATAAGCAACTGCGTATAATATAGGATGACTTATTAAAATTATGTAATTCTTAGCAATTAACCTTGAATAAGTCATATTCTGCGGATCCTGCAAATTGCTTATTAAAGTATTTTAATCCGTTAAGTGCTGATTTAAAAGGCAAATAATTCGTTTCTCTCTTAAGATAAAGCAGTCTATCCAGAACTGCATCGTTATTTTGATATCCTGCTCTACCCAGATTTAATAGATCGTCTACAATGGCGGCTCTGTTTAGTACATGAATTTCATCGAATTTGTCACTTTTTAAGAAATCGAAAATACGTTGCCATCCACGGTCATCGTAATTTACACGATAAAAGCCTGTAATAAAAATATTGAAATTATTTTTTCAGTCCCTACATAAAATGTGTTTATGAAAAGACGTAAGATACTTTTATTTATAATATTATTTATAATGTTTATTTTTTATATTATATTATGGCTAATCTTCATATTTATTAAATTTTATGAATTAAAAAATATCTTTGTTTAATATTTTTAACAATTTATCTATTTTACACAGTTTCTTTTTACAATGTATTATTTAATATAATCTTGTTTTTCAATTATTAACAATTTAATAATCGAGATAAGATAATATCATAACAGGATAACTCATACTAAAAACATTAGTACATATACATATAATTTTTTGTAAATTATTTTTCTTAAAAAGCACTATTCTATATTAACCTGACGATTGAAGATTGAATATGGCCCATTCTTCCGGATTAACTTTGAATTCTGCGGTGGTCTTTTTGGTATTCATCCAATATTTCGGAACTGTGTTACTAAAATCTGGATTACTCTGTGTGGCAAATGTGAGTGGAACGTACCAAGTGACATTCGTCGAAGTGTTATTTAAGTTCCTTAAGAAAAAGCGTTCTTGACTAAGATTTACTACACCGTCGTCATTAATGTTAACTGTTACAACAGGGTATCCAGATTGTGTAGTCCAGGTGTCCATTATTGCTTTTTACAGGAATGTTTGATGAACGTTGAGTTTCTAATTGACTTTTTATTGCATTCCATAGAGTATCTGGATGACCCAAGCCTTCCTCTTTGCTAAAAAGTATATGATATTTGTAATCTAACTTATTGATTACATTAAAAAAGAGATAAATTCAAAAAATTAATTATTTCAAATTTTTTATTTTTCGTATATAATAAAATAATGATAATTAAAGAAATCAATCTTGTCGCATTATCAAGCTACATATCACAATTATAATTTAACATAAAAATATTATTTTTATGTTAAATTTAATACAATTTAAGAATACAATTTAATAAATATTCATATAAATTAATAAATTTAATTTTGTTTTTAATTTTCTATTGTTGCGTTGATTACATCTGTTTTACTTAATTTAGAATATTAGTTATCATATTAAGATCATCATTGTATCTTATTTTTGAACAAATTAATCAATTATGTTTAAAATGAAATTTATGTTAATTTATTGTAAAATGTATGTTTACTTGATCCGTATGTAGTCCTGTAACGCGTTTTTGAAGACATCGTTACTAAATATGTGGCTCATCATACGAACAATACTGGATCCCTTCGCATATGTAATTTGGTCTCCTGCTCCTTGGACTTGTGAATCAGTAGAAATCTTGCGAGTCATTGAAGGGGAAGATTCAAGACCATCTGTTATTAATGCTGATTGAAATTGTTCCACTACAAATTGTTCCTTCATGTTCCATGATTTTTCGATCTATAATAAAACACAAGTATTACAATTAAAAGAGGGAGATTTCATTTTGCATAGTTTTTATATAAATAACGTTGAAAATATAAGGAATGAAGCTTTTGATATTATTAACGATATATAATGTAAAAATAAACCTATCATTTATTTTTAGAAATAATGGTATAATGTACGATTACTTGAATCGTTCGAAATAAAAATTATACATAAAAAGTCATTGAGGCTAAGTATCCAAATCTAGTCTTTGTTTAATTAAATATATATATATAATATTTTTAATGAGTGTAATAACAAAGTAGATTATATATATTGTTTTATTACCTCCGCGGTAGCAAAATATTGAAAATATCTAGCAAACGCTTCGCTGAGCCAAAGATAGCTCCACCATTCTGGTGTTATTAAATTCCCGAACCACATATGCGTAAGTTCATGAACAATCACAGAAGCCACTCTCTGTTGTGCTGACGCGGACAATTCCTTTTCATCGTACAACATTGCGGTCTCCCGATATGTCACCAAGCCCCAATTTTCCATAGCTCCTGCTGCAAAGTCAGGTATAGCAATCATATCCATTTTAGGGAGGACATATTTTTGCTGGAACATGTCACCGAGCAGTTCGACGGCAGCAATGCCAATTTTCAAACCGTACTTGGCCTGATCGATAGTGGATGGTTTGGACCATACTGCAAAATTATCTACTTTGAGAGACTCAAATTCCGAAATGACGAAAGCCACTGTATAAGTAGACATTGGAATGGTTTCCTCAAAAACGTCCCAGACCTTGCCTTCCGGTGCTCTTAAAAACAAATATCTTGTAAATATACATTAAAAAAGGCTTTGTGTTATAACAATTATTGACAAAAAATAACATTTTAGGTTTTTTTTTTTTTTAATATTTACCGTTCAGATTTGACTAGTGGCATGTTACTTAAACAGTGGTAATTTTCATCTCTTGCTATATGAAATTTGAATTTAGCTTTGAAACCCGGCTCGTCAAAACATGGGAAGGCTTCTCTGGCATATATCGTTTGAAACTGTGTCGCAGCTAACCACCTATGATTTTATAAGTAAAATTATACATTATCAACTGTCATAACATTTAATGAAAATGACGAAATTTTTACTTTTTATTTTTATTCATTATCGTAAAGTAAAACAAAAGTAAACACATTACTTACTTAATCTGTCCATTTTCGAAGTAAGAACTCTTATAGAATCCAAGCGAATTGTCGGTTAAGATTCCATTGTATTTAAAATTAATTTTTATAACTCTACCTTTTCTAAAAGGCTTTGGGTTGGTGATAGTATATTTTGCAGTAGCATTATCATATGTATAAGAAAATCTTCTATTATTATACGAGTTAACAGATACTGATTCAATTTCAATATTTCCGACATGTAGTGTAATGTGGTTAGTTGTGCGTCTTACTAAGGCTTTTATTGTTACATAGCCCTTAAATTTAAAATCATCTTTTAATTTCGGGATCAGCTTAATATCATATGAAATGGGTTTGATAGCTGTTGGTAATCTATAGTCGGCAGAACCGACATCTTGTTTGTAATTTTCATTTGGGATAAGTATAGCTAGAAAAAAAGTATAAAATTATTTAAAAATTGTAAAGATAGAGTTTTACAACAAATATTAGATATATATATATATATTATTTTCTAACTGTTAATTAGTAATATTAGATTGAATTTTATAATAATATAAAATATTACACGTAGTTTTATAAATTAATAAAAATTATTACTTTTATAATTAGACTTTTTATCTTATTTTATAATAAAAAAAGAATGAATTACTCAATTAAAATGTAAAAATGTATAGTTTTATTTAGTTTTTATTTAGTTTTATATTTTTTAATAATTTTCTCAAAATATATTTTGGAAGATAAATTAATATAAAATATAAATAGAATTACCATTGAGAAAAGGAGATAAATCTGCTACATTTCTGCTGAATAATGTAAATAAAGTACAAAATAATAGATGTTTCCGGAAGATCTTCATCTGTCAATGATTTTGTGAAAAAATCGAGTAATTCCACGAGCAACGTAAATGAGGAAGGTGTGTGGCAAATGAAGCCAGAATAATTACTGTAATCGATCAATGACTGATCGATATATAAGGCGACATCTGAGAATTCTGAAAATTGGCAAATATTCGCAATCAATAAACAAAGATATTTAACAAAAATGTAATGCAGAACATTTTAAACATACAAAAACAATACGATCTTCTGCCTTGGAAGATTTTGGATAGTTTTCAATATTTTATTTTTCTTGACATGATTTATTTAATTAATTTACTTTAACAAATTTGTTAAAATTGTATTAAAATAAATATTATAAATTAAAAAAATTTTGTACAAAAAAATTAATAAAGATAAAACTTTTAAATTTTATAAATTAATTATAAAATTAATTATCAATATAAGACACTTGTACAAAGTTAAGAAATATAAAAGTTGTAGAATTAATTAATGTTGTTAAAATAAATTGTTTTAATAATTAATTAAATATGATATTTTGGATGATATAATTGTAGAACATGTAATTTTCTTTGTTTCTGGATGGAAGTTCTTGATACCGAGAATCCAATAAAATGGACGAAGACTTTATTGCTTAATTAATACCAGCTGTTCAGACTGGAATTGTTTATCTTTTTTTAATAGACCATTTGTGCCACCGTTATAACAAAATCAAATATTTGGAGGATACGCAATAACCCAAAGAATTAAAATTATAAGCGATACGATATTGAAATATGGTTCAGCAATTAAGAAAATATTAGCTATTTTAGACAAAAATGATTTATTATAGACAAAATACGTATATATGTATGCACATATATACGTTATTGTCGATATAATACTAACTTTTTATTCTTGTATTGCAGAAACTTGTCGCTTATCAATGACGTAAATAAATTAATAACGCATCAATTATTTGTCATTTTCAAAGCATTAAGATATATATATTTTTTCATGTAAGAACGGATGATAAACTTTTGACACAAGATAAAGACTGGGTAATAAAAAAATTTTCCATTCAAAACCTTGAGATGAACAATTTAAGCTGTGGAATGAAGATGAGACCGCATTATTGTAAAATGCAGGACTAAAATCTATAAACAGTTTACGACTTTTTTTTAAACAACATATTTCAGTTTTCTTAGAGTTCAATTGATTCAAGTCACTGTTTCATTCTATCCTCTTCTGTTATTTTACTGTAATGTCTTTTAGATTTAGACGATACAAGAGTAAAGAAACTGCTATTACAATATAAAAAGTTCATGCAAATTAATAATAATTGAAAAAATAATATATAAATATATGCATAAATATTTTAATTATAGAATTTCAATTATATATTTTAATTATAGAAAAGAAAACTAAATTAGATAAATAGATAAATCGTAAAAACTTATAAACTAATTTATTAGATATAACAATTTAACATTACATTATTACATTAAAAAGATATTGTTCGTGTTATAAATGTATGATATACAATGTAAAAGCTATTATTTAATGTATATGATAAAATGTGGAATACATATTTGTATTTTATTGGGAAAACTATTTAATTTGACTAGCTACTAGAATACAACAATGTAATGTTATTAAATATAAATACTTCTATATATGAAAACTATATGTACATGTACATTCACATGCACGCGCGCGCACATTATCATACAAACATTAATTATATTAATTATATTAATTATATTTCAATTATTATTTTTCATGATATATAATAATTTTTGTAAGAATGCAATTGTTTGAGTCAACCTTCTATGACATCTAAATAAATTGATATTTAATTCCTTCATGAGAACATAATTTTTTACATATATTTCTTAAATAAAAGATTTCTATCCTTAAGATTGCCAAATCTTAACAAGTGGTTTGTTGTTATAATATTGCAATTCTCTTACATGTTCTGAAAATAAATATTATATACAAAATTTACATATAAACATCCATGCATCATGATCATTTTCAAACTTATAATTTAATATTTGGATGCTATTCAATTAAATTGTTATTCTATCTCAATTTCTGATAGATTGAAAATAAAATAAGTATATTATTCGGTTTATTCACAAAACATAATAATAAACGCAATAATAAAAATAATAGCATTATTTAATACCTGAAGTAAAACTGTTACAAAAATTATCTAAAGGTTTTTCAACTCAGTGCAATTTAAAAAAACAATTTGAAAATAAGATTAAAAAAATTGAATTAATAATATTTGGTAATGCAACAATTTAAATTAACTTTTACTTATCACACATAACTGTGTCAATTTAGTCCTATAACAAGAAACAAAAATGAAGTT